CCCGCCAGCTCAGGTGTATGTGGCTGACACCTTAGCCACTTGAGCCACAGGCGCCGAGCCAATACTTTATTTCTATATTGATGTGTAAGTGTTTAGTTATATACTAATACAGATTACTAGGGAAAATAAATAAATTTTATTTGTCAAGATGCCCTTTTAGGGTGGCATATGTTGCTCAGTGTGTAGGACACCAGCCACCATACACCAATTCAGGCACGTCCAAAGCCAGCCCCAGCCTGCTAAACAATGACAACTGCAACAACAACAAAAAAATAGCTGGGTGTTGTGGCGGACGCCTGTAGTCCCAGCTACTTGGGAGACTGCGGCAAGAGAATTGGTTAAGCCCGAGAGTTAGAGATTGCTGTGAGCTGTGATGCTACAGCCCTCTGCCAAGGGCAATATAATGAGACTCTGTCTCCAAAAAAAAAAAGAAAAATAAAGATTCCCTTTTAGCTTTCTTTAGCATCCTTAGGTAATAATGATGGGATCACAAGTGTAGTATTATGATTATATTGTTGTTGTTTTTTTTTGTGAGACAGAGTCTCACAATGTCGCCCTTGGTGCTGTGGTGTTATAGCTCACAGCAACCTCAAACCCTTGGGCTTAAGTGATTCTCTTGCCTCAGCATCCCAAGTAGCTGGGACCACAGGGGACCTCCGCAGTGCCTGGCTATTTTTTTGTTATAGTTGTTACTGTTGGTTAGCTGGCCCAGACTTGGATCGAACTGCCAGCCTCGCTGAATGTGGCTGATGCTGAAATCACTGTGGTACGGGTGCTAAGCCATGATCATATTAATAACACGAGCTTTTAGACCCATGGATTTCTTTTTTTTAAAACCAAGATCTTAAGTAAATGATATCTTTTACTTAGTACACTAGTACAAAAATACTAATGGTACAGCATTTTTCTGGATAATTAAAACTTAACTCTTTAATGTAAAAAAAGTTTTCAGCCGTAATGATACATAGGGAGATTTTATTAATGCTTTCCCATTTAAAAAAAGAACGTACACTTGGGGATGATTTTAAGAATTGAACTCTCTCTCTGATGGAGTAGTAGAGAGAACAAAAATTCTTACTAGCACTGTAAGAACAAAATAGGAAAAAAAAAAAAAAGAATGGACAGAGTCAGTGTAATTTAACCTTCAGTTGATGATAAAGGATCATTGTTAGGAGTTTCAATTTTGTCCTCTGTCCTAATCTAGAAATGCCCTAAGGAGATAGTTTGAGTTTTGTTCTCTAGGTTAAACCGTAAGTTTATCTTTTTTCTTTTTTGCTTTTTAAAATTTGTTTTTTAAATCTCTGGCATTGGATATTTATCTTTTTTTCCCCAGATCTGATTTTTACTTTGCCTCTCCATCAGTATTCTTTGTTGTTAATATGTTTGTCTTTCTTTTTTTTTT